CTGACATCATTAGATGCATAAACCCTTCCTCACATTCAAGATCTAACCAAAGATCTAACCTCTCTCCTCTGGGTCATTCTTGAAATCTCCATAGACATTTCCGCCTGCCCTTCTAGTTGTTTGTATCTGCCTCATTCTGTAAAACATTAACACTCACGCCGATGCCATTTTTAGTTTCCTAAGCATATGACATTCTTTTCAGGGGCTCTGCACACGCTGATCTCTCTAGCAGGCTTCCTGATCATCCACTCACCCTTTTGCTCTTGCCTTGCTAAATCCTCTTATTTTTCAGAATGTACCTACCTGACAGCTCTTCCAGCAAGCCCTCCCTAAACTACTAAAGCTGGGTGCTGTGGGCGAACTACATCCCCCCAAATCCATGCACTCAAACTGTAACCTCAATGTGACGGTATTTAAAGATAGTTTTTAGGCCACAACTAAGGTTAAATGAGGTACTAAGGGCTGGGTCCTAATCAGATAAGCTTCGTGGAAGAAAGAGAGAAATCTCACTTTCTCCCTGCCATGTAAGGACGCATCAAGGACTCTGCTATTTACGAGCCAAGAAGAGGGTTCTCATCTGCCCAATGACGCTGACCCCCACCGCAGACTGCCAGCTTCCAGAACTGCGAGGAAATGAACATCTGTGGTGAAGACTCCCAGTCTGTATTTGGTATGGCAGCCTGAGCCCGAGCAGGTTAATACCCCGGGTCAGATGCCCCTCGGCCGTGTTCCCACACTGCCCGACACAAACGTGCCACCCTGTGCCGTCACTGGCATGTGCCGGTCTTCCACGTCAGCCTGTAGACTCCCTGAGCAAAGGGAGACCATCCTGTCAGACGTGCTACCCCTAGCACCCCACAAAGTGCCCAGAATACTGCAAGTACACAAATATTTGTAAAAAGGAGAACTGCTAAATGAATTTAAATTATACCTGCAAAGCCCTCAGAAGGATGTCTAGCACATTCAAAGGCTTAACATAGACTAGGCTGCCATTAATACTATTATGACTTCTGGTCACGATGGGTAACCTGCTCCTGGAGGCAGTGTCTGATTCATCTCCGAATTCCCCTTAAACCTCAGAATCATCTGGAACACATTCGGTTTTCAAAACACACTTGAGAAATGAACACCTAAATGATGAAAGAACGATAAATAAGGACAAACAACGGCTAGCGCAACCGGCTGCACAACAGGACAGCAGTACCAGAGCAGAACTAGCCTGGCTTTATGTAGACCAGAACTCGTTTTTAACTCACTGGAAACCGGATTTCATTTGCACTCGGCAGTCAGGTTTGCGTTTTAATTTCCTAGCAAAGAATCAATACTAAGGGGAGGAGGGGGCAGGAATAGAAAGATTACAAGCTTAAGTTGAATTTTTGATAATGAAAAGAAGTCGAGGAAGGATTTTAAGCAAGAGCTAAAGATTATAGAGATGACTTTGACAGCAGTGCAGAGACAGGGCTAACAGAAGAGACCGAGGCTGCTAACAGGCATCTGTAATGTTAAGAGGCCCTGAGAATCGGGGCTACGGCTGTGCCCAGAGAGGTGGGAGGGGGACTGGTGGGAGAGATGCTCCAGAACCATCTGACCCACCTTGGTTATACTACAGACCCCAAGCAGGGACGAGAGGACAGTCCAGATTCTCCCCTGGGACTGCTTCACGAGAACTCTTCTATCCCCCAGGCAGGCTTTTCTCCTCAATGTCTGTATACCCTTCCACACAGCAATACACACACACAGACACACTGCATACCTTACCGCAGCAGCACCTGCATTTACCCAACACCCCATAAACGAGGCTTTTAGATTCATTTTAATTAAGGTTAAATAACATCTTTTTTTTTGGAGAGGTTTTCGCTATAGGGCGTGTATGCTCGCCAGACAGACAGAGACAGAGAGACAGAAAGCAAGAAATCACCCCCCAGGGGGGATGGCCACATCGCAATCCCTTCTCCTCCATTCTCCTCTCGGGATCTTGGGCACACACGCACACGCGCCCGGGTGAGCCACCCGGTCCAGGACGTGAACCGCGGTCGACTACGTGGGAATCCAGCGACATAGCCATTACGCTAACTGCTGGTTCCCATTAAGGTTAAATAACATTTTTTTGAGAGAGATTTTTGCTATAGGGTACATGTGCTATATAGACAGACAGAGAGACAGAAAGTGAGAAATCATCCCCTAGGGGGGATGGCCATATAGCAATCCCTTCTCCTCCATTTCTCCTCTTGGGATCTTGGGCGCACACACACGCCCAGCATGAGTATCAAGCCGCTGGATCTGGGATTTGAACTGTGGTCAACTACATGGGAGTCCAGCGACGTAACCATTACACCATCTGCTGGTCCCAAGGTTAAATCAAAGTAAGCATTTCATTTTCCAGCTGTACTCACTGGACTGCAAATCCTTGGTGGCTGCCAGTGCTAAGCGGGTGCCACGCTGGAGAACACAGGTGAGAAACATTTCCATTGCTGCTGACGTCTTCCTGGAAGTGCTATGGTGGTGGGTGGGGAAGAGTGCTATTTACCGTCTAGTGCCATCCGTGTTACAGAGAGAGGGGCATAGGGAAGATTAAAGAGAATACAGAGACCTTGATCTAGATCTTGAAATGAGTTGTTGCCAAGTGGACAAAAACGTCTGAGAAGACAGGACATGACGGGAGCAAGCACTGAAAACATCCAACACTTCAACAGCACAGTGGATCCTTCCATTTCTTCTATGGCACTTCTGTGAGCACCGCAAGGCCAAGCTGGAGGTGTCCTCTGTGAGGGCAGGCAGGGACTGTGGCGAGGAAGGGGCAGGGACTTCTGGGGCCGACAATGGTCCATTCTTGACCCGGGGATGGTGACATAGATGATTTGCTTGATGAGGCACCGAGTGTATATTTGTATTTTATGCACTTTTCGGTAAACACAATTTTACGATAAAGGTTTTTTTAAAAAAGCCTAGCATGGATAGAACACAGGATACATGGAGAGAGGTGGTAGAGTAAGAAAGAGACTGGCAGAGGCCCGGCCGTGCAGCTCATGCACTGTGCTGGGATCCAGTGGAAACAGAGACTTACGGTGGGCGACGGATGCAGGCACGTTATTTTAGAAAGATGATTCTCATGATAGCTTAGAGAACCAAGCATCTCTCAGAGCTCAGCTCATATTCAGGAACATCGAGTTCGATAAATATTTGGTGAACAAATGGCTTCATGAATAAATTCGTTTTAAGTGGGAGAGCTACATTTCACTTCATTCATTCAACAAATACGGACCTAGCACCTACTCTATCCCTGGCAATATTTTGAATATTTTTGTTCATCTGCAGATGTGGGATAAAGCTGTGAAAAGACAGGGGCAAGCTTCACATTTACAAAGGGCTCTCGCATCCATTCTCTCACTAGCTTCTCAGCCACGGGGAGATGGGCCGAGGATGGTCTTATTCAAAGGAAAGGAAGAACGGTGCCCGAAGATGGAGTCAATCATCCAAGATCACATCCCTGATGAGTGGCAGAGCCGAAATGTGAACCCAGGTCTCCTGGTGTAACATGAAACAGTAAACTCTGCCCCTGGGAATGGGTTGAGGTCGATGGCTATAAAAAAGACAGTAAGTTCATTGTCCTTCCTTCTGAGAGAGCAGAAGTAACAGATTCATTTTAGGAAATCTCCAGTGAATTTAGAAGGAAACAAAGAGCAGCCAGGAGTAACAGCCGGAGCCTGAAGGATAATCAACTCTCCAAAACGTATCCAAGAAAGAGGACAGAATCTCTCACTATTACTTACTTAGTACATTGCTCATTGGCTCTTCTAGGTAGAGCCAGGGTCTGTGAAGAAGTTGAACTTGGAGAAGTTCAATGTCAGGATGACTGGCATGG